TAATATCATGAATAAAATATGATTTATGATTTTGTGTTATATAAATACAACTGTTTTGACCTGACTTCACTTGATTATTGATTATTCTAACTGACGTATTAATGTGTTTGTAGTATTTTAGTGTTGTGGCAGGTCGAGGTGTAGATAATTAACTGTAAATAATAAACATTTTAAATTCTTTTGACTTGTAACTATGCTGTCAGATAACAATTTACATGTTTTTTACAGCATGGACTGAAAGATAAGTGTAGTGCAGTAAAAAGTACAATATTTCCTTCAGAAATTAAGAGGAATAGAAGTACGTGGTAACATAAACTGGTGTAAATACTGGTGTACGCTGCAAACACCTCAAAACTGTACTTTAGTACTGTGTACATTGTGCTGGGGTGAAGTGTGGGGTAAGTGAGGAAACACAAGTGTTGTTCTCCTACTCGCTATCCTCCTCCAAGGCCTCTCCATCCCTCATACTCTCTTGAATAGAAAAGGTCCTCAGTGGTCTTTAGAGTAATATTTGTGAGTGTGATGCAATTGTAGGTGTGACAGTTTGTGTCCACATGATGTGTGTGTGTGTGTGTTTGGGATCGGCCTGGAGGTTTGACAAAGGCACAAGGAAATCCCACTGCAGGCCAAACAGAGTGCATGCTGTATCTCTGTGTGTGATAGGTGTGGTGATAGAGTCTGTGTGGTTATCAGAGACAGAGGGGGGGAGGCATGGTCATATATGTGGATATTGGGCCAGCTGTATTGATCCTGGCCCTGACAGCAGAGGTGGAGGACGTAGGTGGGGGGGTGACCGGATGAAAAGAGGAGGAGGTTGATAACGGTGTCAACTGACCTAACATGCTTACCTGAAGCGTGGGAGGGCACCGAGTTAACGCCCAACAGGCTCTCAATAGGCCTTATTCACAAAAGTCAGTCAAAGGTTTCACATGAGAGCATGACATGGGTGCAGAGGGTGATCTCTAATGTTTAGACAAGCGATAGTGTTATTGGACTGTCAGTCTCTCTTTTTTTTTTAAAGGAGTCTGTGTAACTTTTGAAAGACAAAGTAGCTCTTGCATATTAAAAGTCGGATTCATAAACAAACACATTTGCTCCATTCGATACACTTGGCGCGGTACGGCAGCAGCGTTTAATCTTAGCTAACGTTAGCAAACTTTATACAGACGTTGCTAATTGTGCTACTGTTACATAATCTTTTAGCGTTTAACCAGTAAAACTCTTACATTATCTCCCTTTAAGCAGTTTGGTGTAATCTTTATCTGCAGAAGGTTACTTTTATAAAAACAAATAACCTTTATACTTGCTGAAGCTGTCACTATATCTTGGCGGTCGTACATGAGGCGGATTAATCTGTGGAAAAGATCCAGTTCCTCTGGCTTCATCCAAGTACTCCTACACTGTGCCTGAATGAAAACAACCAATCAGAGGCAAGAAAGATAGTTGATTGTCTTTTCATAAAGGCTACCTACTGCAGCTTTAATATTTGAATTTCTGCTTTAGTTAAACGGCTGACACTGTTTTTTATGACTGTTTTCTATTTGTGCTACTGTTGTGTATGTTTTAGCATTTACTATTATCAATGGCTACTGTTACTAAAGTTAGTCTAGCTTTAATCCAAGACTGTGTAACCTTTGACTTTGGCTACAAGTGATTAAATAGCTACAATAGGGTCATACATTCAGCAGTGACTAAGTGATGTATTAGAGTATTAGAGTATCATACAGCAATATTTATCTTAAGTTTGCTAACATTAGCAAGCATTAGCTTTAAGTTACTGGTCGGACCTGTAGCAGCAACACTCCTCAGTGTATTAAACTGAGTAAAGAGATGTTTAAATGTTATGAATTAAATTTTCTATTTGTAAGAGAAAGAACGTGTCATTTCTTCTCCCAAAAGTTACATAGTGTAGCTTTAAAGGCTGAGAGAGGTCGATTATTTTCAGGTTTGTGGGTTACAAAGGATCACACTGAAGACTAAGTTCTGACAACAATAAATCACAGCTATCAGAAAACAATATTAGAGAGTTGATAAGATTAAGATTAGAGCAGTAATTCTATGTGTGTGTGTGTGTGTGATTAATGGAGACAGACAGTCGCCTCTCTCCCTGCTTGCACACCACAAACACACACACACACACAGCAGATCAGCAGATAGGGACACATACTGCAAGGAGCCTGGGTGACACTTTTAAAGCCTGAATCAATCAATGAGGAGGAAAGAGTCATGGACGTTTATAATGTTTGAGTATCAATAGAATCACTATTAAACTCAGGGGCCTAAATCATTTTTTAGTGTCTTACATGTTGGATCACTTGCACTACAATCCTGCACAGATAAGTGTAGGTAACTGCCGAACATAGCCAATAACGCTGTAAAAGGATGTACAAAGGTTGTAATGCATGTACATTTAAAAATAATTAAAATTATTTAATAATGTAAAAGTGAAAATGTTTAAATATCGAATCATAGACCCCCCCCCCTTTCTTGCTCTACTTGGTACATTCCAATAAGATAAATGAAGCACAGGTGAGCTGCTGGTTGTAGGTCAGTAAGTGTCCTGCCCCTTTACTACTAGTTTTGTCTGTGACCACAACACCACATCTGACATCTCTTATTAAAGATGGGGGAGAGGTTGCATAGTCAAAAAAGCTATGTTTGCTCATTTTTTGATTGTAAAGCTAAATTCAGTAAGTCGTGGAAGCTAGAGGCTCACCTTTGCAAACACACAGGATTGGTAAGTGGCTCCCCACTGCTAGCAGGCCAAACTGAACAATGATAAAAGACCAAGTGGACACATGATAACGCCTCATAGCGTGTTTGTCTATTAAAGTTGTTGGGATTATCTGTCAAATGTTTCCCAAACTTCAGAAACCGTTCTCCTGTGACAACTGTGACAAGAGCTTTTGCACCCGCTATCAGCTCACCAGACATGAGCTCACTCACAGTGGGGAAAAACCACACAAGTAAGCCATTACATCCCTATATTTTGTATTTTTTTTTTTTACGAGGTGTAACATGTAATCCTCTTACTCAAGCTGCCATTGAACTGTTACCTGCTCTGGTCTCCAGGTGTCTGGCTGATGGATGCTCTGAGGCCTTTGTCACAAACACCAGCATGAAGAACCACATGGCTCGAGTTCACCAGCACAAGGAGAAGCGATATAGTGTAAAATAATCCTGAAGTTTTCCTCCTGTTTGCCCTTTTTTATTTTATTTTGTGTTAAGTAGGTTGGGATTCACTGTGATGTATTGGCTTGCTTTTGCGCTTGCTGTATTTTTTCCAGTGCGACCATAAGGGCTGTGGAAAGGATTTCAACAAGAAGAACCAACTGAAAGCACATATGTGTGAGCACCAGCAGCTTCTGCCATTTCAGTGAGTGGTGCACATCTGATGCAACTGATATTTCTTTTTTTTTTTTAATCTGTGCTTAACCATCTCAAATGTGAACTGTTTATCTTTTGATGTAGTTGTACTTTCAGTGGCTGTGCAAGAGAATTTCCCACTCATGGAAAACTGAAGCATCATGAGAGAATGCATGCAGGTTGGTTGAACTGAAATAGATTTATTTATTTTTTTTAATTGTTTGTTGTTTTTAGAAAACTCTTGTGTCTCTGCTGCAGGTTACCCTTGTGAGAATGAAGCATGTCCTTTTCAGGGAAAGACATGGACAGAATATCAGAAGCACAGAACAGAACATAAAGGTATGAATGTAATGCTGGATGGTGTTTTTTGTTTCATGTTAATTCTTGTTTTAATGCCTTCTTATTTTTATTTTTATTCTCAGTCAAGGTGCCGTGTGGAGAGTGCAAAAAGCTGTTTAACAACGCCTGGTTCTTGCGCCAGCATGGGCTGCGTGTCCACTCTGGGGAGAAGAGGATGCTGTCGTGCCCCAGAGAAGGTTGCAATAAAAAGTTCACTCGGCGCTTCAACTTGGAGAATCACATACTGGGAGAACATGAGGGCAAGAAGCCCTTCAGCTGTGCGTTCGCTGGGTGTGGGAAGAGCTTCACCATGAAGGTAAACATGCACCAATTCAATCACAAACTACTTTCTCAAACTAGTGGTGTCCAGCCATGCTGATGGTTTACTTGCTAAAATTTATGTGCACATTGACACTTTGCTGCAACCCAATATAATGAGTGAATGAGTTTGTTTGTAGTACTTTTAGATTGAAAACTACACTTAGAAATTAATAAAATAATAGCAGCATTTCTCTCCAGCAACACGTCCCTCTTACTCCAGATAATCTTGACCTTGCTGTATGGATTAGTTATCTGGAACTACTTTCCAGAGAAAACAGTGAATAAAAGGAAAATTAGTTTTGGCAAGATGTGCTGCTTATGGACATTTTCAAATGCATTTTCATTTTGAGCAGCACAAACTAAATTCCAGTAACCTTAATTATACTTGGTTGGTACATTTAAAAACTGACACTGTATACACTATAAATTAGTTTTTTAGTTTTTGGCTGACTCATTCTTCTGAACTGCTGATACAGTGTATTTGGTAACTGGTCTCATTGGTAATCAGGAAAGCCTGTGGCGACACGGAGTGGTGCATGACCCAGCAAAGAAAAAGCTGAAGGTAATCTGTCCTAATCTAACTTCCCCCCCTGCTTTTATACAGGAAAAGTGAGTTTTGACTATATATATTTTGTTCTCCTTCCAGAAACTACATCCTAAAAAGAATCAGCCCTGGCATCTGGCACAGCGGGCCAGAATGGCAGCTGCAGCCAATCAAGCAGACACCGACAAGCTTACTGAAAAGCTGCGCAACACAACTTTAAAGGATAACAAATCTTGAGGCCACATTATACAAATATCTTTTCATTTAATGGTGAAACAAATCGGTAATATTTCTGTTTAATATAGTTTTGTTTATGTTAATGTGAAATAAAGCCTCATTAATACAGCACTATAGTCTTTCTCTGCCTGTTCATTGCTGTGAAAAAGCACACCGTAGAGCCATTCATCCTCTGAAGGAAATGTTTATTAAACAAACGGTACACACATTCACACACATGTATAAAACTCCAGCTGATGGGACAGCTGGTTGTCATGGTGATGAGGCCTAAGGGCAGTTGAGCCCCCAGGGTGCGGCAGGTTTCTAATAAGGCCTGAGGCTTATTCAGCTGGATACAGCGCTGGTGTCGCAGAAAATGTTGACTAGAGTGATTACAGGTCATTATCCTAGATGACACAGGATCACAGACTACTTTTTTAATAATTATTTTTTTAAATATTCTATCTCTACCTGCAACGATGCATCCACCTGAATACAGCCCTGGATTCTACAACTGCCTTGTGAGGTGAATACAGCACAGATCGCCTGTTAACAGTTGCAGTACCATTTCTCCCTGTCGGAGTGAAGACAACATGACCATATGATCTCAGCAGTGTGTTTGTGAGTGCAGTCTGTCGAGTGACGTGGCACGATCTGGATCAGTTCCCACCTGGTCAGGACAGGCTTGGTCCTGCTGGGTCTACAGTTCTGAATGCTTTTGGTCCTGGATTAAGCCCGGTATGGAGCGATGTACAGTAGCGTGTACCAGTTCACTTTGGCCAAGGTTGTTCCCAATATAGAACGTTCTGGGTGGACTCAGTGTGGTGCGCAGCCTGCTTATGATCTGGCCCAGCTATACGAGGCTGCCGGGCCAGGAGACCACAGTAAGCGCCACCCGGCTGCGCTGCTCCTTCAGCATAGGCACCAGCGCTGAGTGGCTCATTCCTGCTGTCGACAGGCCGTTGACTGCCACAATCATGTCACCACACCTGCGGTGACACCAAGAGACAGGTCAGTGGGGATTATAAACAGGACCTGACAGCTTGGAGTGACGTGCCATTCATACTATAGCTCCACATGGGACATCATATGAGGAGGAAATATGTGTTGTAGCAGTGCTTACAGAGGATGTTTAAATACAGTTAAAGGATGAGATTGGCATCAAAACATTTGTTCCCACTAATTAGAACTAAATTTGAACTTATTAGTCGTTTGATACAAAATTTATCAGGAACAATTTTGTCATAGTTTCAATCAAAATACCAAAAAATCTTGGGTTCCAGCATCTCAAATGGGAATATTTACTGGCTTTCCTACTTTTCTATGATAGTTAATTGTATGTCTTTGAATGGTCCAATTAACATTGGATAAAACTTGAGATTTGAGACTTACAGCCTTTAAACCACAAATGCTCTCCAACTATTTTTGAGTCCCTTTATTCCTACTAAAAGACCTAAATCCTGTTTAAATAAATTAAAACCTGGTCAAACATCACCCAAACAAGAGTAAATGGTGTGTTTGTTGGCGACTATTTTCAGATGTGGATTAACACACAATTTAGCAGGATGGTGTATGTGGAACAGTGCAACAGTGTGGCTCACTCAACAAAGGAGCTCTACGCTACGGCACAGAGGATTATCGAGCTTTGGCTACAATATACAATATCAAAAGACAAATCCTTTAATTCTTTTTACTGAAGGCAACAAAGGATACAGCAACAAAAGGAAGACCCGAGGGAGAAGATCCTAGTTCAATTGTGGGAAATTACATTTAACAGAAATGTTATCTTCGGGACAAGTTCTGAAACTTTCACATTAATTAGTGAAACCTCCAGAGATCCATTTACTAAATGTTCCACCTCTGCTTTTGAACTGCATAACAGGGTTTACCTACAATAGATGATAGATTTCTGACTTATATTCATATCATATGCGTACAAAGATTGGGTCAAACTGTTTTAATTTAGTTTTATTGGTAGCTGTTTGCATTACAACAACAGATAAAACACTAATGACACAGCAAAAAGGCCTCGCCTATGAAGTCTGGTACAAAAATGAAAGCTTGTTCACTGAGAGACAAAAGATGAGTATAGTAAATAAATGCAGTTCTTTCTTATTAAAAGTATACTTCAAAAATAAATCTATCTGTTTTATCTAAGTGTTTTGTTCTTGTAATGCACTCTGTGGGGGGCGTGGCTTATCATCACGCCACTCTTATCAATCACCAACTGGAGTTCACAGTTCATCGACCTGCTAATTCACTGCTATGTAGCTGCTAACATCAGCCACATATGGCCATGTGAAGAACAACTGATCACTCACTTGAGGCGGCCATCGTAGTACGCAGGTGTGCCAAGGACGATGGTCTTGATGAAGAACGCCTGGTTGCCGTGACTTTCCTCGTAACCCCCAACAATGCTGAAGCCCCAGCTGCCCGGATGGCTCCTCCGCAGTACAATCTCATGACTACTGTGCAGGTAGCTGCGAGAAAAAAAGGGCAGAGTGAAGGAGGGGCTGGGAAGATAGTATAGATAGACTGTATCCTCAAAGGAGCAAAGATGCTGCTTCATCAAAATCAACTATTGTTTGAAGTAAGTATTTTGGCCAACTTTAAATCACTGAGGTACATTTTCTTTTTTAGAGGTATTCAAAAAACCTCTAAATGTACTTCCTCCAAATGCATATAAATATAGTGAAATGTACAACTTTTGCCATATTTCTCTACTTTTCTGGGCTCTTTTGAGGGAGGAGAATGAGAGAAGTGTAGTACCACAAAAGGCAAGTGAAGAGTGAGAGAAAGTAGGGCTGAAAAAAATTAATTAAATGTATTGAAATACTGACATTAACCTTAATTTACTCAGATTGCAGTTTTCCATAAATGGTCAGAAACCCATATGACTGAAGTGAGAATAGCTACTACAACAGAATTACATCTAACCAGACTTACAAACAACCAGCCAGCCCAAATTTAGTTCATTGTCCTTAGAAGAAGAAGTGAAAAAGGTCATCCTTCCTCCCCTTTGTGTGCTCACCTGGGTAAGCCCAGCCACATGACCCACGAGGGGGACCAGTTGGCATCAAAGTCACTGTCATGTGTGTGAGGCAGCAGCTCGTCATGGTCGGGCTCTTCCACCATGCTGACCTCCAGCACCCGCAGCTGCACCGAGGGCGAGGCAGCGCTGGCCTTCAGGGTGCCCACAGCCTCACTGTGGCTGAGGTACGTTAGGTCCTGCCCGTTGATACTCAGCAAGACGTCACCTGAAGGAGAGCGTGAGAGGACGCTGTAGTTTCTGATGTAATGTTTTTTATAGATGTGGCGGAATTTAGTCCAGTTTTCTGAGGGAGCGCTCACCTCGTTTGATTCGTCCGTCCCTTGACAAGCAGCCGTGTGGTTGGACGCTGGTCACAAATATTGGCAGCTCCCCGCTTTTGCTGCCGCGACCTCCCGCAACAGTCATGCCCAGAGACTCGAGGGGTTCCTTCTTCACAGTGATGTGCTTCTCCTTACAGGACACACACTGGGAAAGGTCCTGGATTCAATTACACAGAGGCAAACAACACACGAACACAGGTTCACTCTCTGTCTATTCACAGGTAAATGCTCTACTTACTTACTCGTTGTACATAAATCTTTGGAAGCCATTTGGTTTAAATGTTTCATCCTTTAAAATGCCTGCACCAATTAAAAGTAACAAGAAAAATAGGGGGAAGAAGTCCCTAAAAGTACTAAAAACAAGTGTTTTTCATACAAATTCCATTTTTAAAGTCTAATTCATACTGTTTATAATAATGCTTTATCTGAAGTTCACCTGTTATTCAATTATTTGACCTTTTTTTATGAAAAATAAAACTTAAGAGTCCTGATCACATTACATCATTAACCACAATCCTCAAATCTTGTGATGCAAAAATAAATTGGTGATAAAAAAAAAAGTCAAAATACCCCTAAAACACATAATCCAGCCTTTGTGTACAAACACACTAATATATATATACACACACACACACACACACACACACACCACACACACACACAGATATAACA